ATATATATATATATTTAATAACGCAATTGCGTTTGTTGCGTAATATTTTCTTTTTGGAAATGAAATCGTCTTAATTTAAGTATTGTGCAAAAATTTTCCGGTTTAAAAGTGTTTGGGTCATGAGAATATTAATATAGTACATGGGCGTGAAATAAAAAGTATGCGGTGTCGTATCATGAAAAAGTGGGGGGGGGGGGAAGGGGGGGGGGGGGTAGCAAAATTTACATTCTTAATTGTAGGTAACTGAGTTCACATTTTTGCCAAGTAACTTTAATAGATGGGAAGTTCACGCATTGCAATGTTTAGCGGGCTATAACCAGTTACTAATATTCATAAGGAACTCTTGAATTAAATATTAATACATTTTGAGAGCATTGACCAAGGTCCAGGTAGGACGATGATGGCTTCCACCACTCTGGGGGTGATGGGGGTAGAATCAATTGGAAGTGTGTGTATCAGACTGGCAATAGTTTTAAAGGGGGCCTACTGCCTTTTATCTAAATTCAACACTGTTTCAAAGTTTGTCTCACTTGGGATAAGTGCAAGACCCTCGACGTATTTCCTTATATAATTCACTATAATTGTACAAGTAAATAAGTATCCACGGTAGTGTATGAATAGAAACATTGTCGGACAACTAGCATTTTTGTGTTGACCATCAAATTGTTTAACGCAACGTCATATCAAAGACCATCATCATACTCTCAGGATTTCAACCTTTCTTTCTTTTAGTTTAGAGCAGTGCTTCTCAATCCTTCTAATGCCGAGACCCTTTAATACAGTATTTCATTTGTGCTGACCCTAAACCCTAAAATTATTTTCGTTGCTACTTTATAAATATGTGTTTTGCGATGGTCTTAAGTGACCCTGTGCAAGGGTCGTTCGACCCCCAAAGGGTTGCAACCCACAGGTTGAGAACCGATGGTTTGGAGAATTTAATGTTTCTGTTACACCAATTTACTTAAACTTGGTGTACGTCATACTTACTGGACAAGCCTAGAAAAAAAATCATTTGATCTCCGTTACTTATCTTCTACTCTTAAAGAATAACTTCATTAAGTCTGATGAACAAGAAATATTCTACACAGTCAGAAACACCGAATAAAAGTGTTTAACCAAATTATAATCTTACATACTTGAAGCTTAAATGAATCATTACGCAATGACTTGATCTAAAAAAAAAAGTTACATTCTTTTATTTTTTCATTTTTTTTTTAAAAAACTGGTGAGACTTAAGTCCTCATCGATAAGCGGCATAGATAAATCTGAGACTCAGTGAAAGAGTTCTCCAATTAACTTAAAATAAAAGAGAAATGATTTATGTAATTCTTTGCAGACTAATATGGTTTATTGAACTATTTTGGAATAGAATGTCAGAACAACTTAATTAGAAAATATTTTTAAAATTAAACTACATTTATTTTTTTTTTTTTTAAAGGAGGTAAAATAAAATATGATGTATTACTAGCTGAAATAACTGGCCATGGGTTATATTGACTACAGTTTAACATACAAGCCTGGTCCATAAGATTGATTATAAGTTATAATTGTAGTTGAGAGCTGTTAAAATCTTTTTGATAAATTTTCAAAGTAATTTAATAAGCTTTTAGATCGTTTAAAGGGCTAGGTCTATAAGCATCACAGAGGCCAGTGCTATTTGAAGACAAAGCTGCATTGATAAGTGCTGTTCTCAAAATAAAATAAAAAAATGCTTCCTTATCATAAATATTCACTTAATGCAGACTAATGAATTTACCGTTGCTAGGAGATAGATATATCCTTTTAAAAGCACACAAGTCACCTTTAACTTTAAAAACAAAAAATCAACACTGACATAATCCATGCACGATATAAGCCACTTTAAAGCCTCCTTGAAATAGAAGAGTAGGTGAGGTAACAAGATTATCAACTTAAGATGACCAGGCACTGGGTTTCTCAAATGGTAGGCCATGACAAGGAACCGCGTTTCCTAAATGCTAGGACATGACCAGACACCAGGTTTCCAAAATGCCAGGCCATGACTAGGCACCGGGCTTCTCAAATGTTATTACCATGACCAGGCACAGGGTTTCCTAAATGCTGTGCTTTGACCAGGCAATCAACGGTCGCAAAAGAATTTTGGGGGAATTTTTTTCTTTTTTGCTAAGAAAACCAGAGGAGGTTAGTGGTGGTGTATTTTATAGTTACGGGGAGGTAGAGAAACTATCCATGCTGCAGAAGGATATGTTGGTGCAGTAGGGTCATTAGGCTAATAACACATCAGAAATTATAACAGATCGTATTTAATTACAACATCAGGTTTCCACCAGGGCAGGGAAACATCTGAGAAGGGTGCCACCAGAGCAGGGTAGCATTCGATAAGGGTGCCATCAGAACAGGTTGCCGCAAAGAACACCTTGATATCATAGCAGATTTTCGTCCGATCAGGTTTCCGTCTCAACAAGGTGTCATCAGGACAGGGTGTCATCAGGGCAGGGTATCATCAGAATAGGGTGTCATCGGAGCAGGTGTCATCAGAATAGGGTGTCATCGGAGCAGGGTGTCATCAGAATAGGGTGTCAACAGAGCATGGTCAATCGACAGAGCAGATTGTTGGTTGGGGATTGAGGAATATAAAAAAATGTTTTGGAGCCTAAAAAAACGCCATTAGTTTCGGAAGCGTTGGAATAATTGGTAAAAAATTACTCTTCATTTACACGTGTCCATACAGCCAACTGTTTGTTGATTTTTAATTTAATTTATTTATAATTTTAATTTATTTTTTTGTTAACACCCCTCTTAAACTTGATATCGTTTTGGCACTCTTTAATGTTTTTTTCCTTATATGATATTTCTTGTTGTTTTT